TTATCGTATTGGCCTTTGAACTTTTGCCGACCTTCGTTTTGTCCGTAAGCGTATTAAGTATTGTCGATGATGCTGACAGATTTGTCCTTGAGAATCCTGAATTTCCAAATTTAGCATTACCCCTTCGGTACCGAACGCGGTGAGGCAAGGAAACATGCAGCCAGCATCTTCCTTGGAACTTTGAATTTTGTGCTATTGATCTCGTTCTCTTTCTCTGTCGCAACACTGATCTCAGTTTCTTGTTTTTGCAATGAATTTAAACATTGCACATTAATCCCTGTGCTGTCTGTCCACTTGTGAGAATCATATTAAATTATGCGTTTTGTGCTATTTGGTCCACCGAACGATTTGCCTGCTAATGATTTTCACTGCTCTGAATTTAAATTTGAGGGGTTGCACGTGGGGAGGAACAGTCCCCCATAATTTCAGCTTCCTAGATTCCACGGTTTCCGAGACAATAATTTACCTGTCAAAAGTTTTACCGGGCCGTATGTGTTGACCTCAGTCGGGGGAAGGCTGAAATTAAATTTTTTGGATCGCACTTGGGCAGGAGACATACTCATAAAATTTCAGCTTTCTAGCTTGCGTGGTTCCCGAGATAATGGTCTTCCCTGCCAAAACTCCCACAAGGCCGTATGTGTTACCCGCGGGTACGGGGAGACAGAATTTAAATTTGCGGAGTCACGCGTTCGTGGAGAACATTCCCCTAAATTTTCAGCTTCCTAGCTTTTGTGATTCCCAATTTGAAAGTTGCAGACATGTTACTGCAGACATACACACACACAAAGAGCCTCGTGAAAATATTCGTTTTGTACTGCTGTTGCAAAGCACAAAATGCATAAAAATTCTGCAGTCGAGCAGCCTGGATCTAGCAGACATGTCCACAGACCAGAAGCTAGTGTAGTTTTTATTCTCTCGTTAATATCAGTTCGTTACACCCACATTAACCTTCCGGCTCATTTGACTGGTTTTCGATGTGTAAATGGTGGCAAAATCTCTAGAGGAACTTGATAAAATGCATCCAAGAAATGATGGCAACGAAGTGTTGTGGCGTATTGGTGACCAATTAACCTTCCAGTCAGGTGTTTCAGGAGGAAAAATTCCCAAAAAGGCGAATTGCAAGCCTAGTACAAGTCCGCTAAAGTTGGCTAGCGCATCAGTTATTTTAAAA